TACAATTTCCCTTTTAAGACACAATTTATTCTTGTTTGAAATTCTTGCCTTGAAGTATGTTTGAAAAAACATACTGCTTCTCTATAAATAGGGTTCTTTCCATACAAAATACAAATCACTATTTTTATAACTACTCTAACTTACAACTACTCTAAATTATAAACATTATACAAGAAAAACCACAGAGGAAAATAAATACTAGAATAGACACCCCAAAATCCTTATTGGTATAATTAAATACCTGGTAAATCAAAGGAATTACAGTAGAACCTTGGCATGTATGGATTTAATATGATATCTCTAAAACAGTAGTTACTCAAAAGTCTAAAAGCACAAATTTGATGCCTACCTCTAATAAGGATAGTATGTGGAAATGAGTCACTATCTGGTACTCAGGTCAAAAGGACTATCCAGCATGCCCTGGCCGGTGTGGCTCAGTTGGCAGGAGCATCATCCTATACACCAAAAGGGTTTGATTCCTGGTCAGGGCACATAACTAGGTTGCAGGTTTGATCCCCGTTCCCAGTTAGGGCGTGTGCAGGAGGCAACCGATCAATGTCTCTCTCTCACATTAATGTTTCTCTCGTTCTCTCACCGCGCCCTCTCCCCCCAAAAAATCAATGAAAATATCCTCGGGTGAGGATTAAAAAAAAAAGACTATCCAGCATCTGCATCTTAATATGACTTTATTAATTTCTACTAGGTATCTTTTATAAAGTAATTGTTGGGAAGTGAGAGAAAATGCTAGTACTGGCGTCAAAAGTGAACATCTAAAGGTATCTAAGAAAATCATGGTTCTAAGCTAGAAAACAAATTTTGGATAAGCCATTTCTTTAAATGTCAAATCTGGAGGCAGCTTGAATCTCTGATGTGTAAAAGTGACTAGTAAGGTGATGACAATTATTATTTGTCTTCTGCCAAATCAATTAGCATTTAGGAAGAACAATAACTAAATGCAACATAGTTTTCTGGATTGGATTCTGGAACAGAATGAGAACATTAATGGAAAAGCTAATGAAACCCAAATAAAGTCTAGAGTTTAGTTAGTAGTAATATACCAATGTTGTTTCTCAGTTTAAACAAATGTACCATAGAAATGTAAAATGTAATAATGGGGAAAATTGGGTAAGGAGTATATAGGAATTTTCTGTGCTATCTTTGCAACTTTTCTGTAAATCTGTTATTAACCCAAAATGAAAAGCTTTTTTTAAAAAAGTAACTAGACAGCACCTTGATTTGGTCATCAAAATCACTAATGAGGGACAGATGGACATTGTGTGCCTCTAGCTATAATACCCCAAGAAGGAAACAACATACATTTATGTAACATTCAGACCACAGATTATAACCTGAATCTAATCATTTAAAAAAATCAAACAAACCCAAAATTAGGAACATTCTAGTTTTTTAAAAAAGAGAGCTTTCATTCTTCAAAAATGTGAAGAAACACTGATAGTATAAAGATGTGACAGGTGATGTAATACCTTATCCTGGATTGGACCTTGGAGAGGAAGGGAGGAATTTCTATAAAGGAAATTACTGGCAAAATTTAGAAAACAGATGGTAGATTTGATGAAAGTACTATAATGATGCTTAACTGCCTGAGGTTGATAATTATATTGTGGTTATATAAAAGAATTTCCTTGTCCTTAAGAAATATACAGAGCCCAGCTGGGTGTGGTTCAGCGGTTGAGCATCAACCTAGGATCCAGGAGATCAAGGTTCAATTCCCAGTCAGGGCACATGCCGGGGTTGCAGGCTCGATCCCCAGTCGGGGGCGTGTAGGAGGCAGCTGATCAATGACTCATCATTGATGCTTCTATCTCATTCTCTCCCTCTCCCTTCCTCTCTCTGAAATCAATACAGATATATTGAAAAAAAAAAGAAATACATACAGAAAATTTTAGGATTAAAAGGGCATAATATATTTAACTTTCTCTCACGTAATTTTTTTTTAAAGTGAGAGAGGATTGAGTGGGAAAGAGAGGAAGACAGTGTGTGTGTGTGTGTGTGTGTATAGAGAGAATGATAAAGCAAATGCAGTGAAAAGTAAATAATTTGTGAATCTGTGGAGATCTTTGTACTACTGTTTTACAACCTTTCAAGAAGCAGAAAATTATTTCTAAATTAAAAAAAAATTTAAAGAAGCAAATGGAAGTTCTAGAATTGAAATATATAAAAACAAAAATTAAGAACTGAATATGGTTAAGAGTAGATTATATACCACTGAAGACTGAATTAATGAATTGTAAGATATATCAAAATAAAATAGCCAGCATAAAGCACAGAGACAAAAGGATAGAAAGAGAGTTAAGAGACACAGATGATATGCATGTAGTCTATCAAATGTATAACTAGAATCCTAGAAAGAAAGAAGAGAGATAATTTTTAAAATTTAAAATTTGAAGAGAGAATGGACAACAGCTTTCTAAGACTGTGAATGACATCAAGCCACAGAATCAAGAAATCCTACAAACATAAATAAATAGAAGACAAACAAGGATAGGTAAAAAGAAAACCACTCCTAGGCACATTAATGTAAACCTAAAAAACGAAAAACAAAGAGAAAAAAAATAGATTGCCTTTAAAGAGGCAGCAATTAGACTGACAGTTGACTTGTCACCAGAAATAATTTAAGAAGCCAGAAAACAATGAACAATATTTGAAAGAAAATAACTGCCAACCTAGAATTCTACTCCCAGCAAAAATATTCTGCAAAACATAAATGCATTGCCACAAGAAAATCCCAACTAAAGAAAATTATAAAGGGTGTTCTCCAGACAAAAAGGAAGGTTATTCCATCTAGAAAATGAGGGATGCAGGAAGGAATGAAAATCAATGAAAAGGTCAATATTGGGTAAATCTAAATAATAGTGACCATAGAAAGCAACAATAAAAAGGTCTTATAGAGTTTAAGATATATATATAGGTGAAAAGAATCTAAGGTTCTTTCATTGTCCAAGAAGAGGGTAAAAGTACCAATTAATATCAAACTGATTGATATTTAAATCTTTAAGGTAACCACTAAAAGAATTATAATAGTATATAATTTCCAAGTCAATAGGGGTAAATAGAGAATAATGAAAAATGTTTTGATCAATCAAAAATAAAGCATGAAAGAAGAGAGAGAGAAAAACATAGAGCAGGCAGGACAAGAAGAAAGCACATAGTAACATGTTATATTTAAATCCAAATATATCATTGGTGGAATTAGTACCAACATTATCCTTAAGAAAAAAAACTTGTCTGAATGAATGAAAAAAAAAAACCTCAACCATATGCTATTAACAGTATAACATATATAAATGTTTCAAGTAAAAGAATGGAACAAATCATACCTTGCAAAAACTAATTAAAAGAAAACTGGGATAGCTATCCTAATATTAGGCAAAATCAATTTTCAAACAAAAGGCAATATTAGAAATAAAAAGGGACACTTCATTATGGTAAAATAGTCATTTCAACAGAAAGATACAGCAATTCTAAATTTCAATGGCTCTAATAAGACAGTTTCCATACACATAAAGCAAAAACTGTCAGGAACGAGGAGAAACAGTTCCACAATTATAGTGTGAGATTTAATCACACCTTTCTCAGTAATGTTTTAAAATATTCATACACACACACACACACACACACACACATACATATATATATATGTGTTTTTTGGGGTTTTTTTCCCCCCATTGCTTTTCAGAGAGCATGGAAGGGAGAGAAAGTCAGAGGGAAACATCGATGTGAGAGAGAGACACCACTTGCTTGCCTCCAGCATGAGCCCTGACCTGGGCCAGGGATCAAGCCTGCAACTGAGGTACATGCCCTTGGCTGGAAGTGAACCCAGGACCCTTCAGTTTGCAGGCTGACACTCTAACCACTGAGCCAAATTGGTTAGGGCACAATAAATAATTTTAAAAAATTAAGTAAGCATATAAGTGAGGATATAAAATATTAACCAAATTGACCTATACTGCACCCATTATTTTCAGGTGCATCCAGAACATTCACCAAATTTGATCATATGCTGAGCTATAAGGCAAATCTAAAAAAAAAAATCAAGAAAATAAAATAATATAGGATAGGTTCTCTGATAACAGTACAATCAAGCTATGTTAATAACAAGATAACCAGGAATAGTGTGGTGAAGGCCAGAGCGGGGGGTGGGTGCAGGGGAGAAGGGGCCAACGGGGAAAAAAGTGGACATCTATAATACTTTCAACAATAAAGATAAATAGGAAAAAAAAAAAAGACAACCAGGAAATCAACTGTTTAGAAATGAACAATTATACTTTAAATATCTATGGGTCAAGAAGAAATCACAAGGGGAGTTAAAAAACATTTTTATGTGAATGATAATGAATATACTACCAATGTAAATTTGTAAAATGCAGAAAAATTAGAAGTGAAAATATTAAAATATAATAAATATCTACAATCCATTAACAGAAAATAAACATGTAGTACATTTTTCTTCAGTATTTCTCCCAAAAAAGTATAGGTACATTTTAGTTTATTTTTACCATAAATGCCCAAGAACTACCCCCTTGTTCTTGGAAGTTTATAAACTTTATTTTAATGACTGTAAAAATCTTCAACTTATATTTCACTTTCTATACAACCCTTTAAGGACAGTTCCTATTTTTATAATCTCTATCCCCAGAGTGCCTAGGACTAAAATAATTTCATAGGTTAATTCAAAAAGTAAATTTAGGTCTAGAAGATTCTTAATAAGTAGTGCACAGAGGCATTACTCTCTCATATATTAGAAATATTTTTCTTCACATACTTTTCCTTTACCTCACTGTTCCTGATAAGTATTCAAGTGTTCCTACCTCTTAATAGGGTATGACAGCCTACAGGAATGTAAACTTACTTTATTTCTTGTAAATTAAATAAGACATTTAATAAACAAATGCATAAAGTGTTGTAGCATTAACTCAGATCCCTAAAAGAACTTCCTTTTCTAAAATATGACACAGAATAAATGTAGCATAGTTACTTACCACTTGATCTGTTTTTACGACTTGATTTCCCTCCGGTGAGAAGCATTTTGAGACTATTCCGAAACATGATTGTGCTATTCTGATAATCACAAAACTGTAAAAGAAAATGTGGGAAAATATGTTAGGAAACTTGATTTTCTATTCAAAATTCAGAATAATATTGCCTGGTAAACAGTAGGTGCCAAATAAATATTTATTGAATTAATCAATTATATTTTCTCAGTTTGTATCCAAATCAAATCCCTTTTAGAGAAACCTGATCTTACTCTCTATTCTCAATGCCTATCTCTTGGGAGGCCCTCAACACTTCTTGAATGAGTGAATGAATGAATAACTGAGCAAAGACTTGATTCATCAGATTAGTAACCTGGTAAAGAGGTAAGGGGATACAATATAAGTAAGTTTCAATAGACAAGACCAAGTTATGAATTAACTAGAAAAATGGGGAATACTCAGGGTGATCGTGCACTAGAGATAGTCAGGGAAAGGCAAAGAAATTCTAGGCAAGTTCAAATTTTTATCTAAGGAAAACCCAAGAAAATTCTAGTCATACTTCAAACTTCTGCCTAACTCAGTCAGACTTTACTAACAGATATATACACTTCCTCCAAAGTTTCAAAAGAAAAAGTGTATAAGCACAGATTTTTATTAGAACCAATTATTTTAAATTACTAAGAATAGGAGTCAAAAAGAATAAAAATCCCACATCTAAAAATAAACCAAGATAACATTCTAAAGTTAATTTAAATGAAAAATGCTGATGGGTAGAATAAATTAATTATAATGATGATCATTTTTTGAAGTATGGAGGTTTTTTCTCTGCTAGTTCTAAAACATAAAACTTGACTGAAATGCATAAAGAATGAAATGAAACATATAATACTTATTTAAAGCTAATTATCCATCTCACAGTTACATTTTGGTAAAATGACTTTTTCATAAGTTAACATACCACTAGAAAATTTACTTTAATAAAATTTGTAGAAACTCCACAAAATTGAAGCTAGGTGGGAAATGGCAGTTTGATCTAATTGGATTTATGACAGTAATATATGGCTACATTTTATCCTACTTTTCTAAGTTTTATACCCAAATTTTAAAATGTTAACTCTCTCAGGAAAAAACATTAAATAAATTCCTGACAAGTGAATCTCTGGCAGGAGCATAAACAAACAACCCATTCTCAGGCCCCAATCATTTCAAATTATCATATACTAAACTGATATGAACATTATGCTATCTATGTGACCCCTAAGCTTTTATGTTTGTGACACCTGGCCTAAACCATTCAGAAGAAATACTAACTACTCTCCTCCTAATGGTCCACCAAGGCTGGATATTCATACCTTATATCAACATCTTCTTGCACTGTTTTATTAGTGGACAATCAATTTTCATTTTCAATGTTCATCTCTCCTACTTATCTAAAGCCTTTTCTTATCCTGTTACTCAAAACAGGAGTGCAATATGCCTTCATTAAAATGTTTATGCAATAATAATGTAATCAAATTAACTATTAAACACTTCTGCATTATTCAAGCTAAATAACCACAGTTCTCCCTTTAACTTTTCCTTGCAGGAAATTTTCCATTCTATAACAAGCTTTTTGTAAAATTTCTTTTTCTATATTCTTTTCCATTTTGAGTTGTTTTGGTAGTGTTTTTTATTCTCAGTTTGGGGAGTGGCTTATTCTTATTTTTTTCCTTGTTTTACAATTCTAGAAACAAGTTCCTTGACATTAGAACTATGCCTAATAGGTTAATTATATAATTTAAATGCTTTTAAACTCCTATGGGACCTGAAGAAAATGTTTCGAATAGTAAGAAAATAAAAAATAATAAACTAAGATATTGTCTGTAAAACTCTAATTACAAAAACAAGAATGCATACTGATCCAAATGATGAATAAAGTGTCATCTTTCCCTACCCAGGAAAACAATAAAACCTTTTTTTTTTTTTTAAATCCTCACTGAGGATATGTTTTTATTGATTTTAGAGAGAGAGGAAAGGAGAGAAAGAGAAACACTGATGTGAGAAAGAAACATGATCAGTTGCCTCTTGAGTTTTATCACTGAGGTAAATTATTATCCAAAAATGTAGAGAGTATGTATTGAGGTACCCTTATATAGATTGATACAAACATCATATATGTCCTTACCAGCATTAAACTGAATATCAGAGGGCAGCAATAGTAGGCCTTAAACTATGATCTCCGTATTCATTACTGTTAGTACATAATCAACAGACCCCACCCCTAGACCACTAAGGCAAATACCTAGGAGGCATGGAAGTCAACTGGGTTCTGTATACATATCTGGAGCAGCCTTCATTTACATAACTTTAAAACTTTAGCCATTGCTTCCAAATTAAAGTGGCATATTGGTATAGAGTGGGAAGATCTGTAGCATCTTACAGCAGTAAAGAGGAAAAAGTGACCAGTGAACCCTTCTGATAGGAGAGACTAAAGGTAATAATGTTCTCTACTCCAGTAATGGCAGAAATTAACACTAGTTAATGAAATATTATATAAGGTACTACAGTGCTCCAATAAAAGGGTTTTGGAAACAGCTGTATACTATCTCAGAAATACTGTCCAATGATGCAGAGGGATACCTGCCAGTTTATACAGTACAACTAAACTAGGGCCAGAACCGGCAGAGAGAATAAGGGAGGGGAGCCATCCCTTCCTGCCAACTGACACTAATAAACATAGATTAGTCAGAAGTGCTCCAAGTGGGAGCAGAGAAGAGCCTCATTCACTCACCATGTTTAACAACACATATCACCATTCCACGAGTAAGCAGGACACAGTGGTCATAAGGCAAGGGAAGGGATATAAAAGGCCACAGAGTGGGGGCCTTTTCAAAGAAAAGACACCTCCCACTACCACACATGGAAGCAATGAGTTCCCTTCCACAGACTTTAATGCACAAGCCTCAGATTGTGGATTGTGCCTGTGATATATCTAGGGCAGGATTATGGGAATGATATCAGTCCTGCAGAAGGATAGGTGAGTGAACAAGAGGCACAGTGGGAAGTATGGGGAGAAATCTCAGTTTAGTAGTAGAGTGGCACCACTTCCTCTGGAACAGGGAATCCAACCAAAATTCTGATCTATCATAAATTGTGGGTGTCCAGAAAGGGTATATTTTATGTGGCCTAACAATACCACATAGTTCCAGAGGGGCAAACATTGTACTGACTAAAAGGTGAAAAAGAAGTATTCCCTTAAGGAGTCACAGGATTCAACAGGGGAAGAGAGTAACAGGACTGAGTCTTCTCATCTATGTCTATCCATCCATCTGTAGTAATTCAAGTCATTTAGTGGTAATTTGTCTATTCAGGTTTTCTATTTCTTGAGTCATCTACTTCATATAAGTATTAAAATGGGCTTAAGGGAATATCGGCAAGAACCAAAGGTGTTAACTACAGAATGGAAAGGCCTTTAATCTCTTAACTACTTTTTTATATTTTCCATCTATATGCATTGCACTCTGGGCAATTTCATCAAATCTATCTGCAAATCACTAATTCTCTCTTCAGCTATTTCTACTTTGATAACTTAACCCTTCCACTGAACATTTCCCCCCTTCCATGCTGTACTGCATATGCTGTTACAAGAAAACAAGCCAATTATAACAGTGACAGCTGACAAACCACTGCATCTTTTATAACACCAATATACATGCACAGGGTGGGGCAAAAGTAGGTTTACAGTTGTATTAAGTATGCAATACAGTTTATTCTTGTATTATTTATTATTACAATTGAAAGTGGATACAACTGTAAACCTACTTTTGTCCCACCCTATATTATTCCATTCTTCTATTCTGTGTGTGTCATTTTGAAGTATATTATTTTTCTGAATGATGTTAGCACATTTCTCACATTCAAAATCCTAATTATATTTTTCATTTCTAGAAGTCCTAGAAGAAGCATAGCATAATTTGCTTGTTTTTTGTAACAGCATATGCAGTACAGCACGGAAGGGGGAAAAATGGTCAGTGGAAGTTAAGTTAGCAAAGTAGAATATTTTTCAGGTCCATCTAATCATTTTTGATAGTTTCTTCCTCTTTTTCTTAATTCTCTTATTACTTTAAAAATTGTAATCATATTACATATGAATATAAATAAGTAATATATTTTATAAATTTAACTTTTATATTTTTCATTAATACCAGTATCTGAAGGTTTTGTAGGTCCAGTTTTGTTGTTTCAAATTATTCATAATTCATGGCAGTTTATTTTCCTATGTTTTCTAAGTTTGTGTGTATTTTCTATTCTTGCCTTCTAAACTCACTTTTGATATAAGTTGCAGCAGCTATTCAATATGCCTTCTAATTTCTCTTTCATATTTTCTATTTCTTTATCTGTGTACAAATATTTATCCACCAGTCCCCCACATGGATGGTGAAATTACAGACTCCACGTGTGACCATGGTGTTCTCAGTATCACACCAGTGGCTCTGCTGCTTTTCACTGCAGTAAGTAAGCAGCACTTCCTAGGTACAACTCCCAGAAGTTGGAATATTGTTTCAGGCCAAATTATACAAACAGATAATACACAGGAGAAATCTACAAAAACAATCTGAAAAAACTACATACTATATGATTCCAATTATACAATATTCTGAAAAAGGCAAAACTGTGAAAATTGTAAAAAGATTAGTGGTTGCTAGGAGTTAGAGGGGAGGGAGGGATGTGAACAGGCTGAGCAAAGGGTTTTTAGGGCAGTGAAACTATTCTGTATAATATTACAATGGTAGATACATATCACTATACACTTGTCAAAACCCATAGAATGTATACCAAGAGTGAACCCTAATGTAAACTATATACTGTGGGTGATAATAATGTGTCAATGTAGGTTCATCAGTTTTAAAAAATGTACCATTCTGGTGCAGATTGTTGATTATGGGGAAGGTTATATGTGTGTAGGGACAGGCAGTACATGGTAGCTCTTTGTACTTTCTGCTCAATTTTGAACCTAAAACTGCTTTAAAAATAAAGTTTCTTAATTGTTCTTTTAAAAACAGAAGGAAATAAAAAAAGAGAATGAGGGAAGGAGGAGTGAAGAGAGGACCCATTAATAGGGAAACGATT